GTGGTGGGCAGAGAAGAAATCCAGGCGGCCCCTCCCCTCTACGCCTAACCCCAGCATCCGCGGGAATCACCCACGGTCTTCAACCTCAGAGAGGAAGCTCTGACACAATCTGACTTGCAGAGGCTCCCCAGCAAAGCTCCCAGCACCGCGCGTGCGGCTGCCTGCACTTCCTCCACGTACCCTGCACGCCGAGGGTGAGCCCACTAATGCACAGAGCTGGGACGAACTTGAGGGGCAGACACCAGACGGCGGAGGCTGGGCTGGCACCGTGTCAGCTCCCCACTGGAAGTCTCCTGGTGCTCAGGCCTCTCCAGCAGGAGCCTCCCAACCCCCCATTTGTGGCTCCTCCTCATCCTGCTGAAGTAACCGCAGATCCCTCCCGAGGCACGCGCTGGCCCTTCTGCTGGGAGCCGTGCCATGCAGTGGAACAGTCAGAAGCAGGCCAGGATGATGTGCCAGGAACCCGCCTCACCGCAGGCCTGTGACGGTGTCAGGCTGAGTCTGCACCAAGCCCAGCCCCACTACCTTCTCCAAAGCTGGTCTGTCTCTGAGAGTCAAGGACAAAGCCTCCCCCCACTTTTCACCAGCAGCACCCCTTGACAGAGGAAAGTTGGCCGGGTGTGGTGGCTCATGCCTGGTACAGCCCTTTGGAGACTGCAGGAGGACGGCTGCTTGAGGCCAGCAGTTCACGACCAGCCTGGGCAACATGGTGAGACCCCCGTCTCCACAAAGAAAACTTCAGAATATTAAAAATAAACAAAAAGAGAGGAGAAAGTTACACAACAAACCTCATTTCCCGTGAACAGATGGACAAGAGTGCTTCTGGCCACAACAACAAAGGTTAATTCCAGCCCAGAGGGTTCCGAGCCGTAACCAACACAAGGAGAGACGTGCCCAGACCAACGGCCCCAAGCAGAACTGCGCCTTCGACCCTGGGCTCTGCCCGGTGCCCGAGAGCACCTGCCAGCCTGTTGGATTCCTGATCCCCACAGACGTGCACCAAACACAGGCCTGAGTGGCCAGGACCACAGCACAAGTGGGCGCCCCTCGCCACAGCGACCTCCGGCCGAGACTCACCCGCCTTCTGCTCCAAGGGCCCGGCACCCTGAGATCCTGATGCCAGGGTAAGATGGGGGGCTGCTCATGGTCGAGGACACGGGTGGGTGCTCCTGAACAGCGAGTGGCCCCAGGGGTGGATGAGTGGGGGCTCAGGCGCAGGCAACCGTCGGGGGCATCACCACCTCAGACCCACAGTAGTCCCCTAAGGCAGCTCAGGAGCTCCGGCCACCTGAACTGCCCGTCCATAGGCAGGACTACTCCTATGGGCAGCACAGTGGGTGCAGAGCCGGGGGCTGGGGGTGAGACCCTTGGCTGGTAGAAGCTGCCTGCCAAGTGTCAGCAGAGACTCAGCAGCTAGGAGGCCCTTGGAGCCCCTACCGTACTGAGGGCACAGCACTCACTGCCGTCCTCAGAGGCCAAGGCCACAGGCATAAGAGGATCACCCAGCTGAGGGCTTGTGTGTGCCTGATATTAATAGCGCTGGCTTTGCCTGGTGTGGCCCTGACAATCCTCGGGCCAGCCCTTGGTGTGAACTGCCCCCTCCTGTGTGTGCGCTGGCACATTCGGCCAGCCTAGGGCCGCAGGCTTGCGGAGGACCACCCTGCGCCATGTGCCTGCACCCCTCTTGGATCCCGTGGAAAAAGCTACAGTCCCCTGGCCTGCCTGGGGCTACAGAGTGAACCCCCCACAGCAGGACAGGGAAATCTGAGGCGCCTCTTGGCCAGATGTCCCGAACATCAGTGCTGAGCTGGGCACCCCATCCCTAGCCCCAAAGTGCTTCCGACAGGCATAAACAAATCTGAAACTCCACCCCCTGGCACCATCTGAAAATAACTGCCCTGCCCTGCCCTGCCCCCACTCACGGGGGATCCTGCAGGGACCTGCAACCACCCAGGGCTCAGCAGAGCACAGCGGACACAGTCACCTCTCCAAGAGCCCACAGAAACGGGGGTTCCGCCCCACCCTCAGCATTTTGTCAAGGATGTGCACAGAGAGGTCCTGGCAGCCCTAAGCCCTCCCGGGGCGGACAGGTCACCATGGGAGTCAGCTTCCTCCTACCATGGGTTTCTCTTGGAGCTTCTAGTACTGAGGCAGGGGCTGCCAGGAGCTCAGGGAAAAGGGAAGACTCCACATGGAGGTCATACTCCTGAAAAGTAGGCCACTCCTGGGAGCTGCCTCAGAGGCAGGACTGGCCCATCTGTCTGTGTCCACAGGTGCTTCCTCTCCTCATCTGGGAAGTGGGCAGGAGACAGCCCAGGGTCGGGGAGGCAGAGGCTGTCCTGAGCAGGGGTGCGGAGCCTGGGCTCCTGGGAGCCGTGTCACTGGCTGGGCTGTCTGAACAGCAGAGTGGACTCAGGCTGATCTACCTGGCATGGGCATGCTCTGGTTGCCCCAGCTGGCCAAGAGACCCGTGGAAGCCAACACTATGCTGGCCAGGCCAGGGACGCACGAGCCCAGGTATGCAGCTGTGAATGGAACCACCAGGCCCCACCCTGGAATCACGCTGCCTCGCTGCAGACCACGTGGTCCCCAACATGCCCCTCCAGGAGGCTGCTCTCGGCCACAGCAGCCCACGGCAGGAAGGAGCCGCTCCCAGCGGGGAGGGGTGGCCTGCCCTGGTCCCATTCACTGGTGTTCCTCCCAGGTTCTGACTTGCTGAGCTGGGCCGGTCCGGAGAACTCCCATTCCCACGCCACCCACAGGTGCTGACACCGTGTTGGGGTAAGCACTGCCCAGTGTACCTTCTGCCTAAGGTTTCCTCCTTGCAGGTGAGGCTGAGGCCAGTGGTGCTGGAGGCTGCCTTAGCCACTTCTGGGCACCTCTTGCCCCTCCCTCACCTTCAGCCATCCTATTCTGGGCCACAGCACAGTCGAGTGTGGCTCAGACCCCTCCACAGAGCCATGGCTTGCCTCAGTTTCCTCCCCAAGGACAACAGCAGGTGCATTACAGGTGGGCCAGCTCACAAAGACCAAGGCAGACGCCTCATCTGTGATAAGTGTCGTCATCGTAAAGAAACAAGCACAGGCGGCCGGGCG